GTAAGCCCCCCCCCCCCCCCCCCCCCCCCCCCCCTTCCTCCCCCCACTTGACTTCCATTCAGAATCGTCATGTCGGTTTGAATGCGTCTCTGGCCCATAGGACGACCTGCGTTGTATAGGTCGCCGCAGTAGCGGTTTCATCCTCCCAGACGAGCCTTCTACCAATTAATAGACCTCGGGGATAGAAGGCCCGGTTGGCCTGGACACGTACCAAACCGAAATTCGAACCACGGGCCATGCTTGTGTGATAATGCGCCACTTGCCACTGACTACCTGCCACTGCACTAGTTAGTAGTAAGTATTGACGAAGTAGACAAATTTGCTTTGCTGAGGAGAAGGAAGGAAGGGAGCTAACCCCTTGGGCTCCTTGAATCATTTATTCCGTCAAACTTTTTGAGAAGATGATTTTAAGCTCTAAAATATGTCAAGTCCCTAGGCATCCTCTATCTGAAACGTGGGATTTTTCCTAATTATCGATAGATCGGTTCCAAAATTCCGATTTACTATAAAAACTACAGTTCATTATAATAGGTTTCAATTTCATATCGTGACACACAGGGCCAGAATGGTGTGCTATTCTCGACAAGTCTCGATTACTAGTTACTAGCTCCTCTCTGTTTTAGCTTTGCACAATCAAAAATTACTCGAAATCTCCATCTTTACTAGAATCTTCTTCTACAGCCTCTGAGTTCCCTAAAAGGTCGTCTTCAAGATGAGAATTCGAAAACACAATTGAAATATCGCGGCGACCAAGACAACATCCTCTATTTGGTGAGCTAGGCATCAAGGATTCCAGCTTCATTCATTCATAGCAAAACATTATTGCTGAATTTCTGCCTGGTCTGCACTATAAGAGGGACAGCTTGCGTGCCTTTCAAAGTTCCCTCATTCATCTTTTGTTCATCGAAATTTCATAGCCAAGCCAGAGCCGGACAAACTTATGCGGCAGAAGACATCCGACTTTTGTCGGTCTCTAACTGGCTGTTCGACTAAACCAAAGGTTGGGATCCGGAAACTGCCGTTGAAAGCTGGACTGTCACTGAAATATGAGTTTCAGGTCCCTCTTGAGCTAAAGGTTTGCTGCACAAACAGATTTGTCCTGAATTAAAATGGAGTACCTTGACAGGGTTTTCCAGAGTAAAAAATTCTATTGAGAGGTGTTCTTACGAAAAAGTGGTTCACTATCCAACCGCATGGTCCAGAGATCGGACCCTGACCGATACTCGGCCAATTTGACCAGGCCTTCCTTTCTTGCCCGGGGTCGGTTGATGTACCAGACAAGTATAGGGAGTTGAAAGCACTCTTTTTATCCGTCCACTTTCTGAATATTGTAGATCTTTCAGAGTATGCCACCCTAATTAAAAACAGCCTGACGAAGTTCTTATTAATGTCGCAACTTCAACAAAGAATTCTCCCAAAAGTGCAGGTTTTATCCTGCTTAATAAATCCTAGATCCCTAGAAAAACCTTTTGAATGTTCAGGAAATTGCGTTGCTACTAGAGTTGCTCAACTTCAGTAAAATCTGCTCTGCTTTGAATTAGTCACGCACCTCAGGACAAGTGGGATGACTTGGCAACTAACTCTA